TTGGCGTCTCTCGTCATGTATGCTATGATCGTGCTATGTTTAAGACATACATGAATGCTAAAAATAAGAGTGTTATTGGGAGATGCTCACACTATTGATGTTGCTAGAATTAGAGACATTGAGTTGAACATCACCTATGTCTGCTATGATCGTGTTATGTTCAAGACATACACGAATGCTGAAAATAAGAGTGTTGTTGGGAGATGCTTACACCACTGATGTTGTTGGAATTGGAGACATTGAGTTGAACTTCACCTCAGGAAAGACTTTAATATTGAAGGACGTCATGCATGTCCCTGAACTTAGAAATAATCTTGTTTATAGTTTTCTTTTGAATAAGGTAGGGTTTAGTCAGTCTACAGGGACAGATTTGTACACCATCACTAAAAAATGGTATTTTTGTTGGAAAAGGGTACGCCACTGATGACATGTTTAAGTTGAATGTTGATTTGAATAAAATTTCTCTTTCTGTTTACTCTTTGTGTGATTTTAATATTTGGCATGCTAGACTTTGTCATGTTAATAAACGAATTATTTCTAATGCAAGCAACTTAGGCCTAATCCCTAAATTAAATGTCAATGATTCAAATAAATGTGAATATTATAGTCAAGCTAAAATAACTAAGACTTCACATAAATCAATTATTAAAGAATCTGATCCCCTAGATCATATACACTATGATATATGTGAATTAGATAGAACTTTAACCAAAAACAGTAAATGTTATTTTCACTTTTATTGACGATTATTCTGATTATACTTATGTATACTTAATGAAGAATAAAAGTGAAGCGCTTGACATGTTTAAGATGTATGTAACTGAAATTGAGAATCAAATTAGTAAGAAGATTAAGAGAATTCGTAGTAATAAGGAAACTGCATATGATTCTGATTTATTTAATGATTTTTATAAAGAACATGTTAATAAGTGAGTTGTTTCTAATGCAAGCAACTTAGGACTAATCCCTAAATTAAATGTCAATGATTCAAATAAATATGAATATTATAGTCAAGCTAAAATAACTAAGACTTCACATAAATCAATTATTAAAGAATCTGATCCCCTAGATCATATACACTATGATATATGTGAATTAGATAGAACTTTAACCAAAAACAGTAAATGTTATTTTCACTTTTATTGACGATTATTATGATTATACTTATGTATACTTAATGAAGAATAAAAGTGAAGCGCTTGACATGTTTAAGATGTATGTAACTGAAATTGAGAATCAAATCAGTAAGAAGATTAAGAGACTTCGTAGTAATAGAGAAACTACATATGATTCTGGTTTATTTAATGATTTTTATAAAGAACATGGAATTGTACATAAAACGATTGCTCCACATTCTTCTGAAATGAATGGGAAAGCAGAAAGAAAGAATAGAACTCTTACTAAACTAGTTGTTGTAATTATAATAAATTCTGGTGCTGCACCTCACTGGTGGAGGGAAATTTTATTGACTATTTGTTATGTCCTGAATAGAGTCCCCAAGTCAAAAAGTAAGATCTCTCTTTATGAGATATTAAAGAAAAGATAACCAAATTTGTCTTATTTGAGAATTTGGGACTGTCTGGCTTATGTCAGAATTCTGGATTCGAAACGAGTTAAACTCGTTAGTAGAGCATATGAATGTGTACTCATTGGATATGCAACAAACAATAAAGCATATAGGTTTTATGACCTAAATGCAAAAGTGATCATAGAATCAAATGATGCTGAATTCTATGAAGACAAATTTCCTTTCAAATCAAGAAATAGTAGGGGGCACACAATCGAGTCATATTCATGTGATAAGAAACACGGAAAGCAACGACAATGTAGAAACAAAACTTCGACGAAGTAAAAGAGTAAGAGTTTCTAAAGACTATGGGCCCGATTATGCGGCTTATAATGTAGAAGAAGATCCAATAAATCTTCAAGAAGCCTTGTCATTTATGGATGCTGATTTATGGCAAGAAGTTGTTAATGATGAGATAGAATCTCTACAATCTAACAAGACCTGGAACTTGGTAGACTTGCCTCCCGGGTGCAAACCAATCAGTTGTAAATAGGTTTTGAAAAATAAACTAAAACTTGATGAAACTATTGATAAATACAAGGCTCGCCTTGTAGCCAAATAGAAAATATAGATTTCTTCGACACCTTTTCTCCAGTCACTAGAATTATATCCATTAGGGTACTCATTTCAATAGTTGCTATTTATAACTTAATAGTACACCAAATGGATGTTAAAACAAATTTTTTAAATGCTGACCTAGACGAAGAAATCTATATGGAACAACTGAAAGAATTTGTGATCCATGGACAAAAAAACAAGGTCTGTAAGTTAGATAAGTCTTTGTACAGACTAAAACAAGCTCCTTAGCAATGACACAAAAAGTTTGATAACTTAATGATATCGAATGGGTACAAAATGAATGAAAATCACAAATGCATTTATTACAAATATGAGAATCTCATTTTCACTATCATATGTCTATATGTAGACGATCTACTCATATTTGGATCAAATATTCAGGCCATTAATGATATGAAATCATTGTTGTGCAACAACTTTGATATGAAAGACCTCGGAGAAGCGAGTGTGATTCTTAGAATCAAGATCACGAGATCTGAGCAAGGAATTTCTTTGGATCAATCACAGTATATAGAAAAGATCTTAAAGAAATATAATTACTTCGAATGTAAACCTACGAGCACATCATACGTTCCAAGTATGAAATTGTTTAAGAACACTGGTGAAAGTGTTAGACGGAAAGAATATGTGAGCATTATTGGCAGTCTTAGGTATGCCATTGATTGTACTAGACCTGACATTATATATATCGTAGGATTGTTATGTAGGTTTACTAGTAGACCTAGTAATGGACATTGGCAAACTATTGAGTGAGTCATGCGATACCTTAAAAAGTCCATGAATCTCGATTTGCATTATCAAAGATTTCCTGCTGTACTTGAAGGATATAATGACGCATATTAGAATACCTTATCAGATGATTCCAGAGCTACTAGTGGCTATATATTTAGTATAGCTGGAGGAGCTGTATCTTGAAAATGAAAGAGATCATCCTGGCTCAATCAATAATAGAGTCTGAGATGATAGCACTAGCTACAACTAGTGAAGAAGCAAGTTAGTTAAGATGCTTGCTAGTTGAGATCCCTTTATGGGAAAAACCTATGTCACCTGTGTTGATCCACTATGATAGTATCGTGGCTATTACAAAAATTAAGAATCGTTATTATAATGCTAAAAGACGTCAAATAAGAATAAAGCACAACTCCGTCGGATATTATATCTCTAAAGGAGCTGTAAGAATGGATCATGTACGCATTGATGAAAACTTAGCATATCCTTTGACGAAAGGATCAGCTAGAGAGAAAGTCTATAATACATCAAGTAAGATGGAACTAATGTCGATAGAAGTATGAGTTGCTCATGATGGTAATCTGACCTAAATGACTGGAGATCCCAAGAAATAGGTTTAATGGGTAATAACAAGTTGTGAGTAATATGGGGCGATCATGCTAGAGTAAATAAGAGAAGCATGAATCCTGAAGCGATAAGAGGATGAGATAATAGAAATTCTTAATGAGATCTATACTCTGTATGAGGGAGTACCTAGGCTACATGATTACTCTTGATAGACTCATTTATGTGATTGTGGAACTGATGCCGGTTCCTATAGAATTTTGAGGCAGAATTTCTAGAGCCTTCACTAAACCAGGATACACGTGTAGGGACATTAAAGCACGGGCTATTAGAATACATCTTAGAAAAGGTTGTGTGCGGGTCTGATGTCTGAGATAGAATTCAAGACAACAGTGTCACTGTTGTTGAATTGTAATCCTACTTGTTACACCAATGTTCAAGTCATGGACACCTTTGCTTATGCACGATCTTAAAAACGTTTGACATTACTTTTAATATCACCTTTAAATTCAAGTGGGGGATTGTTGGAAACATAATGTGAATTGAAAGAGTCATTCTATTTTGATCAGAGTTAATTAATTATTAATATTAATTAATTATTAATTAATAATTAGTCATACATCAAAACCTAATTTTGATTAAGTAACTCCCTCTCACTAATTTTTCTCTATTTTCTCACTATTTTTTTCTCCACTTAGTTGAATCATTTACCTATTAATACGATTCCTAAGCTCATTAGAAAGTACGCCAGATTTCTAAATTTATGGAATCTCTCTTCTCCCTCTCTGTTCTCTTCATCTCAATACAAATTATTTCTTCTTTGTTTTTCGAGTGGCCTTGTGTGCCATCTACGACTGAAATTCTTTCAGATATTACGAGTGGTTTAAACACCATCTGAAGGTGTATTTCTTTGAACGATTCATCACATGTAAGTGATAATCGTAATCCTTTTGTGAACGAGTTGTTTTTATCATGGAGGCGTTGTGATTATTAAGAGTTGTTTTGTATAATTTTGACAGTACAACAAAACGTCTTAAAGAAAGCGTATCGTTCCACGACTTAGCCGATAACTTTCTCCATTGACAATTGTCTCAAAAACCGAAAACAACAATAAATCATGATTTAAAAAAAAAAGTGTATCTTATTGTTCAATTTTTTAAACTCTATTGACTTTTTAATACTCTTAATTGTAATTATCTACTACATTAATCAACTAATTTAACTGTAACTAAATCAATTTAATTAAAGGGAAGGGAGTGAGGCTTCTCTGAACAATTTGTTGGTGGTGGACCCCACGCTTTGGAAACAAGAAAAGATACCAACATCATACTTTTTAAGAATTATGTAAAAGTTCTGTTTTCCACACCATTCACACACATGTCTTTCTTTACATTTCAAATTTCAAATTTGAATTTGTACTATAGCACTAATCAAACGGCTACATAAAATGAAATACTAATAATAAAATAATGCAACTAAACAAACAGGGTCATAATAATTGTCACAAAGTTTGGATCTTTTCGAGTTTTAACGTTTGAGTGAAAACAACAACAACAACAACATGGTTGACTCAGGTTGTCTCATGCAACCGTTTTGTTATGCTTCTGGAATTTCCAATGAAACCAATGAGGTAACATTTGTTCATTCATTAATCACTTTTATTTTAATTTGTTTTCTTCTGATAACTGATTTTTCTTTATATTTTCATGAAAGAATATGAATAAAGAGAAATGAAATTTCCTAATTTGGTGTTCATTTATGATTTTATAACATTAATTACTAGAACCCTTTTAATTGATTTTCATGAAGTTGAGATTTTGCTTATTAATGCTTGTGATTCAAGTTTTTTGGGGGGTTATTAGTGGGGGGTGCAAATAATAATAGAAATACCATTTTTATAAAAAATAAAAATTTGCTTTTTTTGGGGTCTATTTTTGGAAACCATTGTAACTGATTTTTCATGAACTTGATAATTTTGTTTATCAGTCTGTTAATCTATGATGCTTGATTGGGTTATGTTGAAAATAGCTTGTAAGAATTGTATCTAGCTTATTTGACTCATTAAATTTATAGTTTAAATAAACGGAATAGGATTGTGATAATCCAACTAAGTTGGTAGTTGTAGAGACATCTCGTAGTTGTAGGGACATCTGATTATATAAACCTAAGTTTAAATCCGCGACATCAGTTATTTATTTTTAAGGAGTGAAATTCTAATCATCAGACGAATAGACAAGAAAAAGAAAAAGATACGAAGTAGGGTTCACACTTTTATTTACACATGTGAAATTTATAAACGAATTAGATACAAAATTAGCGTTCGTATTTGGTCCATTAACTTTGAAATATATAACACATCAGTGTTTATATTCCATCTATTAGTGAGCTTCATTAGGTTTAGATTTAAAGTAGTTTATATGGATGAATTAGTGTCGTCGTGCTTTGTTTACGAGTTTAGAGTATATCAGAGATATTTTCCACAAGTTACATATTATGTTTTATGAAACTTGTGAATTTGACAGACTAACACAGATCATGCACTTGGACAATCAATCTCATTTGGGAGGTTCATGACAGAGACACTGGCATGGGAGAAATGGTCTAGTTTCACTCAAAACCGCTACGTCGAAGAAGCGGAAATGTATTCAAAACCGGGTTCAGTTGCGCAGAAGAAAGCTTTCTTTGAAGCTCACTACAAGAAACTTGCAGCTCAAAAAGCAGCTGCTGCGTTGCTTGAGCAAGAAGCAAACATTGCTGCCGCACAAAACAATGTTACAGAAAAACAAGAAAATGATGAGAAGACCAATGAAAGTCCAAAGTATGAAATTGTCGTTAAGGATGAACGAGATAGAAAGGTTTTGAGTCATGATTTAGATCCAAATGTAGAGACATTCGTTGTTTCAGAAAGTAACAAGTTAGAAGAATCTGAAGCACAAATAGAAAAAGAAGTTGTTTTAAGGAATTCAATGATGGTTGAATTGCGAAAAAAGATTGAAAATGTTGATACATCTAAGGAGCTAAGTGAAAAGCTTAGTGCAACAACTCCAAACGTGACACCAATATTGAAGGTTTTTAGCTTAAATGCACTTTTGCAGTTTTTCTCTCCTCAGTCGTTTTATTTTCGATTTCGGTACCTTCATTTTTAAACTCATGATTTTGGTTTTCAAGGTATCAAAATGTTTGACATTATCCCGACCCTGATCGATGCATTTGAGGTTGATTGTTGATGATGCGACAAGTAACATACTTACGAGGATTTTTTCTAGATATACTCCTGTCACAAATTCCACGCATTCACGCCGTTAGTACATTAGTGGCCGTAGATTGATATCAGACAATCAGAAAACAAGCATTTGATTACTATAAAACATCGAGTTCGAAATCTAGATTGTTTATTTTTGATCCAACGGCTACCATTATGGAGACGGTATGAATGCGTAGAATTTGTGTCCGCAGAGAATGCAAACCTCACTTATGCGGTTGGCAGCTAAATTGATGACATAAGTATATCTTGCTCGTCACTTTTTTAGAAGACTGAAAATCGTAAATGAGACAAAATAGAGGAACCGTAACTGTATTTTTTATATGCCATAGTTATAGTACTAACATAGTGATACTTATTGCAGCATGTCTCTAACTATGATCAAGAAGTTTTGGCATCAACTAGCAAGAAGAAACCACCAATTTCTTCTTATAAGTTGTTAAAATCTAATAATGGAGCCTCAAAGTTCACAACTACTACACCTGTTAAATCCACTACTCCTATTACTCCTATTTCTTCCAAAATAGATAACTTTGCTACTCCAACAATGAGCAACAAGCCTTCTTCATTAAGCAATGATAAAAAGAGATCAACTCCAAAGAAAGCTACTTTTACACCAATTAGAGAATTTAACCGATTGACTGCGTCTGTTATGAGGAGATTTGAAAGCACAAAAGTTGGTTCTTCTTCTTCTTCTTCCAAGGTTTCTAAGGATAGCTCGACTCCTCTGAAAACTCCAACCATGGTATCCATTCATTTTCTTTTCAATTCCTTACTATTAGTTCTATTGTTACATACGAGTCGTATCTTGATTTAATAGTCAGAGTAGTCTTTGAAGGTGTGTAAAATGGGCTACAACACAAAGCCTCAAATTTTTAACGGTTAAATTTAACTAAATAGGACCTCGTAATAAGCTGTCAAGGTTAAACCATGACTAAAAAGGACCCTTAATTGTGTTGTCACTGTTGAATCGTAGCTAACAGACACAGACACAAGGCCTGCAAAATTAACGGCCCTGTTAATAGTCCTTCAACTTAAATTTTGGTGTAATCTTTGAAGTTGCAATTGTTGTGAACAATAATAAAGTGAGTGATTTTCACCAATTGTAGGCTTCCAAGGAGATGCAAAAACATTCTTCATTGACTCCATTAACCGAAAATAGAAGGTATCAGATTTCAATGGTTATTAATTATAATTTATAATGTAGAACTTTTTGCTTTTAGTGTTAAGTTTTCTCTAGCTGTTCTCATTCTGATATTCTGCTTATAAATTTTGTAAAATCATAGGAACAAAACACCTATTGATTCATCGGCATCGCGCAACCATACATCCGGTCCTAAATGGCGTTTGCTCTCTGGAGAGTAAGTCATTTTTCACTTTGATCACACGAGTCATGAAATTTCAAAGTATTGGACAAAATCCATAAGAAACTCTTGGTATCTGATTAATTACTTGTTTGGAAATGTGTTTGTTGCACACAAACTACAATTCCAAAGCTCTAAACACGTTTTTGTGATGTTTAAAAACAAATCTGGTTGAAACATAGAAACGATTCTATCTAAAACAATTCAATGTTTGAGTGGTTGAAATCAAAACACAAATCACTTTACGTCAAACTCACTTCGAAAGACACAATTCTACATATGAATACACAAGCATTATCAACCAACACATTATGATCTCGCTAAAATATTCGATGTTCTATCTGCATGCAGAAAAAAAATGAGATCACCAATTATATCATCTCCTTTCAGCTTAAGGACAGAAGAAAGGGCTGCAACAAGAAAGAAGGTATAACTAAAATCCTCAAGTTTCTCTTCTATTCAATTGATTTTGAGGTTTGCTTCATATTATGTCAACTAATCTTTTTCAATTATAGAAACTTGAAGAAAAGTTCAATGCTAATGAAGTACAAAAAGTGCAGCTGCATACAAAACTCAAGGTTGGTGTCATGCACAATTAATGAAGTTAAATATATTTTTAGTCGTTTTAAAATGCACTAATTTAGTCTCTACAAATACTTAAATCGATATTTAGTCTCTAATTTGGTGATTTCAGAGACCAATAGATTAAATTTTTCATCGAAAATAACCAAATTAAGAACTAAAATTGGATGAAATTTTCTTAGAAACTAAACTTGACAGGAGAGTGTATTATCGTGAGAATAATAGTAACCAATCCTGTTATTTGCAGGCGAAAGCGGGGACTGAGATTAGAAAACTACGCCAAAGCTTTTGCTTCCAAGCCAGACCATTACCTGATTTTTACAAGGAAAGGAAAGCATCAAATATTGAGACAAGAAAGGTAAATGGATGTATCATCATGAAGTCCATATCTATATAGCATCGAGACTTCAAAGTGAAGATGTGTTTGGTGTCTGACACATGTTAGTATCAGACATTGGCACTTTACCGATGTCGACGTGTTAGTGTTATGTTCGGTGTGTGTAAATGTTGTTAAAATTTGGTAAAAGTCCATCTATATAGCACCGGCACTTCAAATTGAAGCCGTGTCTGCTGTCACATGAATATCAGAGACTGGCACGTTACCGATGTCGACATGTCAGTGTCATGTTCGGTGTGTGTGAATATTACTAAGAATTTTCATCTTTTGTTTGTCTTGCAGGTTCCACACACACATTCTGAACCACCTAATGTGGGAAGATATCTCACTCCAAGTATGGCAGAGTGCAAAATTTCTCTGAAAAACAATGGCACCAAGAATTTCATGGGAAAGAGTGGTCATCATCATACCTTGACTCATCATCAGACTTCAAATTCCAAGAAGAATATTACAACTCATGAGAATACATCACCAAATATTCAGCATTGGAACAAAAATGGTAGAATTTACAAATAATGTAGCTTCACAGAAAGAAGCTGTACCACATTAACTAGGCACCAAAGTTATAGCACATTGGCAGCCTCCTAACCCTTTTGTCTATTTTTCTTTTCTTCATTTTAGGGTACCTTTCATTTTGCACCCTCTCAATATATTAAAATAGCCTTTTCATTTTTTCATTTTGTAATTTAAATGTCCAAAATATGACTTTTATGTCATTTGAACATATCGTGAGTGATATATATCGTTTAGGCCAGTCCCACAAAAAAGCAGGACAGAGCGGAGCGAATATAATTAAAGAGCCAAACTTTGCTCCACGAGCCAAACTTGTTTTGTCGCCCCTAGAAATGATGGGTGAAATGCATGATAATTTTAGGAGAAAAAAGTTCAATTAGAAAATATACATTATCCAAATAAAATTAATACACATGTTTTTTCTCTCAACCTTGAAGTTTTTCAGCAAGAAAAGAATAAGAAAAACAAGACTTGTGTGTCATTTGTAAATTAAAAAAGCCTTCTAATGATACACTCAAATTTGCCTACAAAAAACAAGAAGCTCAAACTCTAGCATCTTTTGTCCATCTCTTTAAGATGTACTTGGATGGAACTATCCTTATGTTCATATAATCAAGAACTTTTAAAGCATGGCAGCACAAGACTCCAACAAACTCAAACTTCATACAGCTGCAACAGATTGTCTCATCAGACGAATCGAAACTAACCGTATACTCTCGGACTTGTTCATATATGCTAACTTTATAGTTATACAATGATCCACTCTCACTACAACACTTTAGCACTAGATTTAAGCATGCCTCATATTCTTTCTGGAATAACTCGAATACCTTTGGTGTGTATGGTTCTCTTGCACGCTTTAAGGTAACGATATCGCCCATTAGAGCTGGCATTTGCCGGCTCGCATCATAATTAGCTTCTAATTCCTTGTAGTGCCAATCAGTCACCAGCTTTGCAAGATGCTTGAGAAATGGAAGAACTCCTGAGTCATTATTCTTAAGGTGCTTTTTCAGGTTTCCCGTAAGATTTTCACGCACAAGCACGATTGCTATGTCGGCACAAAAAATATGCCGTCCGTAAGCTATGGCCCATTGGTTTCTGCTTTCGTATATTTGACGCAACCATTCGTTTTCCTGGAGATTAAACATGTCCATGAAAGCATTCCATGCAATAACAAAATCCTCTTCTTCCTCGTGATTAAAAAAGCAGCTGCTCAAATCCTTTATGAAAGAATCGGATTTAACAGATACATGACTAAGTTGCTTAAGGGCGTCTTGATAGACATGCCACACACAAACTCGCTGACTTGTTTCAGGCGACACGGAATTAATAGCTTCAGCTATTTTTGGATCTTGATCTCTTAGGATTGTCTTTGGCTTGGTTCCGGACATCGCCTCTATGAAAACATGAAACAGCCACTTAAAAGATTCCACAGATTCGTCGTATAGAAGTGCAGCCCCGAAGATAATCATTTGCCTGTGATTATTTATACCAAGAAACGGAGCAAATGGGCGTGAGTCCTTATAAAATTTATAACTCGTATCAAAACAAACAACATCACCAAAGTCACTGTAATCAACTATCATCTTTGCATCAGCCCAAAATATATTTGTTATTTGATTCTCGGCATCAAGCTGGAAAGCATAAAAGAATGAAGGATTCTTTGATTGCTTGCTTTGAAAGTAATGCCTAATCTTTTCGATTTCTTCCTCTTTTATTTCTCGCTTGCATTTGAAAGGTAGTTGATATTCACAATCCACAGGATCATAATCTCGATCATGAAAACCTTCAACTGGTTTGGGCAGCACATTGCATCCATTGACAATACTGTCATCAACTCGAGTTGCAGCTAGTCTCTTCTGTGATCTTAACGTATGAACTCTACATGCAGCAACAAGCTCATGATTGTGTTTTTCTTCAAAATGAGTTATATGATACTTGCCATCCGGTTGACGAGAAATAATCAGCTGTGCTAAGCATCCAATCCTTGTATCCTTCCGAGGTCTCTTTACATTCGTACCTCGCTTCTCTTTCTGCCGGAAACCTTCTCTGAAGCAAGTAAATCTTCTCGATGCCACAGCACCATCAACTTTACTCCTATTTACATAATCTTTTCTCACACTGAAACCTACTTGTGCAGCATATGAATTATAAAATTCATAAGCATGCTCCTCCGAATCGAATCCCATTCCGAGTTTCGGTACTCCATCCAACCTAGACTCATTTACGTTCACTTCAACAGCTTGAGCAAAACTCAGTTTTTTCTGTGATGGCAGCATATAAGCAATACCAGGTGTTACAAACTCGTGATTGTGTTCTGCTTCGAAACTCGTGACACGAAACTTGCCATTTGTTTGACGAGAAATAGTCATATGTGCCAAGCAACCCGTCCTTGTTTCATGTTGAGATTTCTTCGTATTTATATAATCTTTGTTGGGACGAAAACCCTGTCTATGGCAGGTGAATCTTCTGGACACCACAGAACCATCTATCCGACTCTTGTTGATGAAATCCTTTCTTATGCTGAAACCTTTCAGAATAGCATACTTGTTATAACACTTGTAAGCATGGTCTTCTGATTCAAACTCCATGTCGATATTTGGTGCCACATATGTTTCCTCCTCATTTGTTACATCAGTATCGGCCACTGATATAGAGGTTGAGTCGGGGTTCTGACATTCGTCATTAGTTTCCATCTGAGTAAGGCCAGCAGGACAAGCAATTTCACTTGTACAATCATTCTCTTTGCCAACAAGACAATGATTTGCGCTTGGACAATCATTCTCTTTGCCGACGACCACGTTACTGTCTGCAACAGATGAATCCTCGAGGCTCGGACTCTCCTGCCCCATATCAATCACTATCCGAAGTGATACTATGAGACATTTATTTTCTGCATCATTTTCCTTAGGGTGCCTATTGAATCAGGTTCAACATCCTTCGTAGACTTGTGTCCTAAATATACAAAATGGCAAACAAATGAAGGGGGAAATTACACTAGTGACAGACGATATCCGGCAATAAATGTAATTTTCTTATGATTTACAACTTTTGAACAAGCATTTAGGTTTTGTATATCTTTGTGACAACATTGAATGCAGATAAAAGATGATATAACTGTGGTTATTAAATGCTCGATTTTTCGGTTGCAATTCATATTGCAGACCGTTTTCAAATCTCAATTTTATATTTGACAACTTTTTTTGTCGATTATATTCATATCTTACAATGTTGTCAATCGCTGATAGAAAAAAATAGTAGTTTGTTAAAATTTCATAATGCTATAACATTGTAGTAGTAGTTTGACAACACTTGATAAATCGCGTATCACAAAACAATAGTAGTTGTTTGTCCAACTTCCACTACATTGTGACGCTATAGAAGCTAACTGAAACCATACATCAATTTAGTGTATGTTTGATTTTGCCATGGAAAATTTGATTTTGAGTGAATTGATTCTATAAAACTGATTCCGCCTAAAAGAGAATCAAAGGTAAAGTGATTTATGTTAGGATAAATTTCTGCAAAAGTGTAAAGATCACGTTTAGATTCAAAAGCTACAAATTCTAACTTCAATAACTTCAAGTAGAATCAATTATGAAAAATATAATCACTTTTACTCAAGAGCAACCAAACGTGTCAAAATCAATTTTATACATTTTCCTCTTATCATTACCAATCTATATAGCACTGACACCTTTGAAATTTATTTATTTATTTAAATTATTACCAGTGTCGCAGTGTCAGTATCGATTTCCAGGCTTCATAGTTACCTATTACTAAAATTTACAATTACATACAAAAAATTAAAACACTTTTTAACCAAAAAAAAACATAGATTGAAAAGTGCAGTTCCCATAAACATCTTATAGAAATATTAAAAAAATGTGAACAGGGTCTTAGGGTTAGGATTTCCTAATAACATCTAATTAATTAAAAAATTAAACATAATTTCATTATTGTGAAAAATTAACGAGAATATTACATAACAGAGATCAGAGGGAAAAACAAATCAAGTATTGATATATATTTAATGAATAAATAAATTAAGTAATTAGATTGATTTTCAGAAAATTGAAAGGGGAAGAGAGTGATGAGAAGAGAACCTGGAAAGTGAGAGGAATTGGAAGAACCGTAAAATTTGTAATATTCGGAACTGTTGTTTTTGTTACAGAGACATGAATAAAGAACCGGAGGGAGAGAAAAAGAGTGTCTGTTCCAAAAATACGCAATGTTGTTACATTTAATCTCCATATAAGATTTGTCAAAAAATTCTATATAAATATAGAAAAATGAAACTTATATATATTTTTTTTGGAAAAAAAAAATAAAGACTAAAGTTGAACAAAATTGGATAAGATTTTACATTTAAACTAGTGCGTTATTTAATATGATATAAAATATATTTTATATATATTTAAATTTGAAATTAATTATTAATTTAAAAATAATAATATGATTATATTCACACAATTGTATTAAAAATACAAAGAAAAAAAAGGACTTGTAAGATGAAAGAAATTTTTTTAATATTTAAAAATAAAAATTTTATCTTTTAAATTAAAATAATTATTAATTAAAATAAAATATATATTATATTGACAGTGATCCGTAAAATAAAAAATTTATTTGATATAATATAAAATGTATTTATATACAAGTATAAATTTGAAAAGAGTTACTTAATTGTAATAACTGTAAAATAAAAAATATTTATAAATATTTAATTGTATTAAATAACTATGAAAAAGAAGAAGAAAAAAAAGACTCCTGAAAAGAAGAAAGAAAGAAAAAAGAAATTTTGATATTTTGAAATAAAGATTTTGTATTTCAAATCAATGCAAATTGTTGATTAAAATAAAATAGATATTAAATATATTTAAATACACATTCAAAATTTAAAACAATTTATTTAATTATAAAATAAATAATAATTATATAAATTTAATTGTATTAAATAATCATATACTTAGACACTTAGCTTTTTTTTAATATAAGTTACACATTACCTTGCCACTTAGACACTTTGCTTTTTTTTATATATAAGTTACACATTAATATAGTTATTGTGATCTTAATTTAACTTAACTAATATCAAATCCATAAAACTTTTTGTTATCTAAATTGCTCACCATCTTTCCATAAATTCAAAAACCCATAAATAAAGAAGACGATACACACCAAAAGATTCAATTTCCTAGCACCCTACTACGATAGAGAAAATTTTGTTATTCAACCAACACTAAATTTCACTACTTCAACAACTACAGTCTCACTCAACCTCGTCACTTCTGCAAAACATGTAGGCGTTATTGGACAAGAGGAGGTGCACTTAGAAATGTTTCGGTTGGTGGAGGGTGTTGTACAAAGAGAACAAAAGAAATCGTTCAAAATCTCCCACTCCAACAAACTCTCATAAGAAACAAACTTCATCATTAAGTGCAAAATTAAGAGCATCTCTCACTGTCATCTACAGAATGAATATATAAAATTTAATCAATTTCAAATTGAGAAAAGTGGAATTAACCTTTTATAAGCAAAAAAAACTTGTTTAGCCGAAGAAGAGAAAAATATGTTTGTAGAAGAACTTGAAGAATAAGTGGGAACTATTAATCAGAAAAAGCGTAATCCATAAATCAGAAATTAAATCAAACCTTTTGGCGTTAAGAAAAGATTAATCAATGATTGATGAAACACTAGAAAAAATAGGGATCTGGAAGAGACAAGGAGTACCTGGATCTAGGGTTTCAAAACCCTAATTAAGAGTAATTTGATGTTTTGGTAAACTTAATCACTATGGAATCTGAAAGAGAAAGGAATGGTTGCAACAATAAAGTATTTTGAGTTTTACATATAAGGATAATTTAATTCAATGAAATGGGGGGTTTTCATTCACAAGTGAACTGTAGCCCAGTTGGTGGAGGCGAGCATTATCTTAGTTGAAGTTCCTAGTTCGATTCTTGGTTGAGGTCAAAATTTTGAAATTTTGATGACTTTGGTATGAATATGTGACATGTCATATGTCACGTTGGATGCCACATATGCACACATAAACGACGTTTGTGAGAATTAGACAGAATTAGTTGAAGTCCCTAGTTCGATTCTTGGTATCTTGTATTAGTAGTTATATAGTTTAAATCTCTTAGTGTTGAATTCCATGTATTAATTTTAAAGGTATTAAATTAATTTTGACAAATATAAGATATTAAATAGTGATTTGTGTTACAATTAGTATCAAGCTATTTATTATCAATGTTGATGGTTTTTGGAAATCAATTGGAAATGTTAACGACATCATTTATTCGAGTGAATAAAAAAGGAAGTAACTTTAATCATTCTAGAACATCTTCTTTATTGAATGTCATTGATAAATGTAATTTAGTTGAAGTAGACACGACTGGTGGAAAATTCACTTGGAATAAGCCTTGTATTTGTAATCAAATGATTTATCACAAGCTGGATAGGGCCCTAGTTGATGTTGCTTGGCACATGACTTTCCCCGATGCATAAGTTGAGATGTTGTGTAAATTTCATTTTGATCACAACCCAATTCTCCTTAAGTGTGACCTTTCCCTCCAAGATCACGAGCCGTATTCTTTTAAGTTTAAGGAAGCTGGATCACTCACCCGAAATACTCCATTATAGTCTAGGCTGCTTGGAAGAAATCCCAAGATGGAATTGTAACTTACTCCAAAACGTGTTGCATGATTATATCCTTTTTAATAAGGAAAATGTTGGCAATATCGGCAAACGGAAGCACAACATTAAGAAGAGACTTAGGGGTATCCAACGCTCTTTGGAGAGAATATATTCGACAAGACTAGTTTATCTCCAACTGGAGTATGATGAGATCATCGTGCAAAAGGAGATTCATTGGTATCAAAATGCTAACGATGATTGAATTAAATTGGAAGATCGCAATACAAAATTTGTCATACCAAAATGGTAATCAAGCGTAATAGAAATAAAGTCCACGACCTTCATCTTCCTAATGGTGTTTGATGAAATGGTGATACTGTTGTACCCCAAAATTTGCCCTCTCATTCTATCAACATTTTCTCATCACAAGATTCTTGAAACTCAAGACCAAGCTAGGGTTTACTCTGCTCAAAACACCTCCTTACACTGTTGACCTAAATTAGGGTTTGAGTTTGCACAAGGATATTCTGACCTACAATGCCAAAATTGACTTTCATACTTCATGTTGGACTCATAAGTTTGTCCATAACAAGTTTCAAGCCTTGAATCAAATTTTTGCCCAGTCAATTGGACAGTTGACCTAAAAATCAACTGTATTGGGGAAAAAGTCAACTGTGGCCAATTGACAGTCAAACCTCATGAATTTTGACCCACATCAACATCATGAACTCATATGAACCATTTGATCAAGTTTGGACCATAATTCCACAAGAAATTTGATCAGATCACCAAAAGGGCAAAATGGTCATTTTTAGGGTTTTGACTGCACAAAGACAATTTTTGACTGTTTGACCTAGACAATGGCAAACCAAGCTCACATATGGACTCAAGGACTCAATGAAATTATCTTGACCCATTCAACAAGTTCAAAAGATCTCAAATGCATAGGGTTGACAGATGAATTTTTCAGTCAATTGATCAAATTTGACTGTACACTGAAAAGTCAAACTTTGACTTTTTGGTCAAAATCAAGTACCAAGAGTTATTTTTCATCAAGACATGTCAAATTATGAAACTTGTTCATCAAGAAACCCAAAAATGCAAATTAGGGTTTAAAATGGAAAAATTTCATAACTTAGAAATTTTCTAAGTTATGAAATTTTCTTATTTTTTCCTAATTTTGTCCCATTTTTTCACCAAGATGCAAATGTATTTAAAGAAAACTTATAACATTAAAGTTGTAGTCCATCACAAAGTCTACAACTTTTATTCACAAAGTTTTCTCAAAAGAAGCTTGTATCTCAAGATATGATTTTTGGAACAAGGGTACCTAAAACTTTTAACTTAGAGAAAATTTGCCCTAATATAGGCAGGATTTTGACCCATCTTCTTGGCCATTTTTCACATAATTTCACTTGGAGTCTCAAGTTTCATTGCAAAGATGGATTATAGTACATGTTCTAAGCTTTCCAAATTGTCCAAGAACTCCTCAAACACCCTTGTGGTTAGAGATAATCGAATGCTTGAAATTGACAAAAACTCACTTTTGTCCATGGCCAATACATGTTCATACAAACTTGCATTTTCAAATAAACATGTTTGGTGCTAGCTTTCAGGCATCAAAACCAACTTGCACTTCATAATTTAATGCATAACCATTGAATTAAGGTGTTATCTTGGCCATTTGGACATTACATACAAGATTAACCCTTATTTGGAAAAAGGTAAAATGCCATTTTTGTAAAAGTGCACTTTATGTCAAACTAAAATCCTTGAGGTATGGGGCCATATCTCTGAATCAAGATGGAAGCTATCAATTCCAAGAACCAAGAGCAAAAGATGAAGCATGATAGGAGGGCCTGTACCAAGCTATAACATCATTTCCACATGTTTGCTTCAAGTAGAAGAAAAAGTGCAAATCAGAAGCCATCTCTTATATCTGTTAAGACAAGCTTACACAAAGATTATAGACAAGTTCCATACCTCCCAACAAGCCTGAAACACGACCCCTTTGCCTCTCAAACTCCCTTGTACACAGAATCACTATTTTTCTGCAAAACAGGGCAAGTTCTGCATTTTGCAAGCCATAACCAAATCCCATCGTGCGTTTTGTCCAAAGATAGTTCAAACACCTTCCAATCAACTCACCCAAACTATCCCAGGCCCCCATTGCAAGCTGTAACACCTCTAACACACTTTTCCATTTTTGTTTCAAAGCTCTGCAGGTTGAGTTCTACAGCACGATTCAAGCTGTTTCAAAACAAGCCAAGCATTGGAAAAGCTTCCTTGGACCTCAGGCAAGCTCAAAAGAAGCTCAAACACCATTGAAGGTTGCTACATTGTCCAGCTCGAAGTCAACTGAAATAGGTATTTCATGGACTTCTATCTCTCTATTTAGGAATGGTTAGGCTTATGTTTGTGAATGAAATATGTTGTACTCATAGCCCTGAAGCCATACATATGCTTAGTTTTCATTTACATTAATCATGCTAAGAGAATTTCACTCATGAACTTTCTGAAAAAACTAGGTTAGAAATTAGGGCCAGAGAAATTCTCTCTGGTCTTTGAGAGTTAATCCAAGTTTTTTATATGGTTAGATTCGTTGTTTAATTCTC